ACCACACCTAAGCCATTAAACGCGGGGGGCCTCTTCTCACCGGCTCTCACACGGGGCGCCCTTCCATTTCCCTGAGCGAGCTCAGGAGCAGAGACCACAGCAGCTGCTCTATTTGGGGGGCTACTCTGGGGCTCAGCGAGGGCCCGAGAACACAGCGCAGCCGCCCGTCCCACCCCAAGAGCCCCAGCACTCGCCAGGACTCCTGTCACCGTGTTCCTGCGGTGGCTCCCAGCCCAGCGCTGATAATGTCAATGGAGAAGTGGACCGAGCAGAAGGACCCCGTCTTCAGGGGACCTGGGATTGGGGAGCCCAGAGGCTGGGCTGGAGAGACACCTGGGGCCGGGTTGTTGGCCCATCTGGGCGACCACAGGAAGAGGCGGGGGACGCCCAGAGACTGAGGGGACCCTAGGGGAATCACAGCAAGCCACCAGGCCTGGGTGGGCAGCAGTGGTCCTGGTCCCACCAGGTCCAGGAGTCCCAGGATCTCCCCTCAGTCCTGCTTTCTTCCAGGCGGCTGGCTCCTCCCAGCCTACTCCCCCTCTGCCCACTGTCACAGCAGCGAGGGTAGCCACCAGCCTGTCCTATGCGCTGTTCTTTCTGTCTGGAGGAACTAGAGTGCTGGGTCTACTCACTGGCCTGCCCAGGAGGAGGCAGGGGCTTGGAGACCGGCATCCTCCCTCCCCCCTCCCCGCCCTCTCCCAGCCTCCCTTGCAGCCAGTGCTGGCCCCAGGCCTGGAACCTTCTCTGCTCCAGAGCCTGCCCTATTCATTTCCATGGGGGGAGGGGGGCAGTGGAGGCGCCCCTCTTGTCCTACCCCTGATGTTTCTGCATTTTGTTTCAGACCAGCCAGAAGATGCACAGCTCACAGTGGCCTCTGCAGGTGACTGCCTGGGTCCTCGTGTCCTGGCAACATGGCCACCCCATCCCTTCAGACCGCCAGGGCAACGAGAGTGGCGAGGCCTGGGGTCCTGACTCCAGGGAAGCCTGGCCTCTGCCCCTAAGGTGGCCATGGTGTGGCCTCATGTGGACAGTTAGCAGCTCTGCCACCTGCCCTGGAGCAAGCCTCGCCCTCCGCCTCTCTGGATGGACAGTCTAGAGGGGACAGCGGATGGCGTGCTCCCACTCTCCCACCCGAGACGGTCCCAGAGTCACCTCTGTGTGCTCCTCACGGTTTACCAGCACTGATAGGGCCTCAGGGAGCAGAGCCACACCAGGAGGCAGAAAGGCCCCTGCCCCATGGCCTCCAGCAGACAGAGCACGCTGTCCTTTGTTCTCAGGTGTGGCCTCAGCATTCGTGTAAGGTTCGCATCCTTCCGGGACCCAAGGACACAGGTACACTGGCATGTCAGGGTTGACCCCTGCCAGGTGTCCTCCTATTTAAAATCTGTACATGGGATTGTCTTGCAGGGAGAGCTGGGGAAACCCACACAGGATTCCACCCCTTTTCTAGCACTGCCTTTGCAAAATGGAGAGTGAGCCAACTGTGGTATGGCATCTACCGGGTACTCCAGAAAGGCAGAATGCACAGAAGATGGTGCTCCACTCCTTCCTCTGGGTGATGGAAGCTGAGTGCAAGGCCCGGAACCATGCATCCATCCTGTGACTATGAGAGGCCGCTCTGAAGATGGCAGAGCAAAAAGCAGGAAAGCCTGGTTCTGGGAGAGCAGTGACCTGGGACTCCTCACCAGTGTAGACACATGTGAGTCAACAAGAAGCCAGATCTGGAGGCTGGACCACCCCCAGAGGCCTCCAGTTAGTGCCCTGCTCCCACCTTACTCAACGCTAAAGCCAGAGGACCCATTAGAACCTGAGTAAGGTCCTGGCCCTCCTCTGCCCAGAACCTCCTATGGCTCCCCTCCAGTCACAAGGAAAGGTGACTCCTGGGGGCCTTGGGCCCTGTTAGCCTGCCCCAGACCCCAGTGCCCTGCTGCATCCCTACCCACTCTTCCCCAGGTGCCTGGTGGCTCTATCTGCCTGTTGCCTTCTCATCCCTGCATCCCTGCACTGTCCTCTCCTGGAGCGTCACTCGGTCTGACAGTCTTTTTGCTTCCTTGTTAGCCTGCTCTAATAAGAACGCAAGTTCTACAAGGGCAGGGTCTTCGTGTGTGCGTGTGTCTGCGTGTGTGTGCACACGCTTGTAGACAGGAATAAAGATGGAGGTGGAAACAGATGTGTGTATCCAGCACAGGACTCATTCATGTGTGTGTGTGTGTGTACATATATATATATATATATATATATGTACACACACACATATATATTATATATAAAGAACTCTTACACATCAAGAGTCAGAAGACCCAATTTTTAGGTACTTGTAGAGTACTTGAAGAGGTACTTCACACTACCCCCTCCCAAAACAAGGCTATCTAAACAGTGGCACGCAAAATAAAAGGCACCCCACTTCACTGCACTCAGGAGAGAAGTCGTTAAAACCACAATGTGATACCCTATACATGACCCAGAATGGCCAAGAGTAAAAAGCAGAGAATACCAAGTGCTGATGAGGAGGTGACACAACCAACACTCTCAGCAGCTGGCGGTGGCAGCATCACCTGGCACAGCCACATGGGGAAACGGCCGGGTCACGGCTGCAATGCTGAGCCTACACAGGCCCAGAAGGCCTGCCAGGCCCACCCTGGGCAAAGACGTGGGAGATAGGCCGACTGACGCCACTAGAAGACACGTCCAGACCGTACGTAGCAGCACTGGGTGCGACCGCTCCAAGCTGGCAACATCCAGGCGTCCACAGAGGAATGGCTTTCTGCCACACCAGGGTGTGCTCACACGTCCGTGAGAGGAGACAGAGACAGCCTCAGGTGAGGGCGAAGTCTCACCAGCACATGCAACAGAGCAGGCCGGGACCAAGAACGTGTGAGGCTGGACCCCGTGCATGTGAGCTCAGAGATGGCCAGGCCTCTCCACCACAGAGGTCAGGGGCAGGGGCTGCATGGGGTCAGGGGCACTGTCACCCCGTGCAAAACCATCAGGCTGTGCCCTTTCCCATAGGTATGTCCCGCACTAACACAATTCACTTTGAGAAAATGGAAGGATGAAAAAAGAATATCCTGGGCGGGAAAGCAGACACCACCTGAGCACAGGCCCTTCCAATCTACTAACTGGCCACGCCTCAACAAAGTGGCCTCTCTTTCCTCATCCCACCAAGAACATGGTTAGGCCACAATCCTTCCTCGAGTCTCCACCCCATCAAGACACTGGGCATGCACACAGGCCACCCCTGCCCCGCCCAGGGTATTTTATAAGCTAGGCCCAGGCCTTGAACCCTGGTGGGCTATATGGGATCTGACTTCCCTTGTGTTATGGAACCAGCCTCCTCTCATTTTTGAAATATGGAGGGTGGCCAAAGCAGGCGATGGACCTTGTGGACGAGGAAGCAGGAATCCAAGTGCCCAGTGGGGACTGACAAGGATCACATCTGTGGAGACTACGCCACACAGCGCTTGGGTTCCAGGGCAAGGGAGGTTCTGCGTCCTCTCTCTGCTCTGCTGGCCAAGGGCTTCAGGTCCAAACCCTGCCCTGATGGTGCGTGCGCCTCCACCCACAGGGAAGCTGGAGGAAAGAAGAGCAGAATTGAGCCAGCCCTCAGTGAGCTCTGGAGACCTCTCAGACAGCACCTTGTGCCACGGGGTCTGCGGCCTCGTGTGTCCATGGCTCCCGCATCTGCTCTGACAAGTCTCACGCATGCACAGTGGCAGTCTGCAGAGGCCCTCTCTGGTCTCCACCAAGTCCTTGGTAAGAGCAGGGATATGGCATGGGCCAATCAGTGCCCCTCAGAGGTAGTCACCAGGTCCTGGTCACACTCACGCCGAGCTCCAGGGCAGGCGTGTCTGACACCTGCGGCAGAGGCAGGGAGGGCCGAGCCACCATCAAGTATACTGTCCCTGGGTATGACCTGACTTGAACAGCCTGGAGAACCAGGAAGCTCTGCCATTTCCCCAGTGCTGCCCATTAGCATCCCTTCATAGACACAAGCAAACTGCTAATGGGCCAGACACTGCCAGAACGAAATGTGGGGACAGGGGACAGCTGACTTCTGCTGTCCCCACCAGGTAGGAGTCCTCCAGGCCTCTCATGGTCTCGGCCTGCCCTTCATGGTAACGACTGGGGCATGCTGCACCTGCCCGGGTATACAACTAGTAGTGAGTATGTTTATTATCACAATCAAGTTATCACAATCAAGTTTTAAATTGTTTTCAACCGCCAGAGACCACACGCACTCACCAGAGAAAAAGAGACAAAGTGAGACGCACCCCCTGAGAGGACACGGTCGTGCCAGTCCCTTCTCCATTTCTCCCCCTTGTTGGCATTTGGGACGTACACATGCATACCCAGGGTGTTTCTCAGTCGCCAGGGCGGGCTCTTGAACTGCACAGTCGGCCCTGGGGATCCAGCTCCTTAGTCATTAGGCTGTGGGGATGGCTCAGAAACAACTTGTTTAGAACTTTACAAATTAACTAAAGGCTTGCAGAAATTCGAGGAGCATTTATTTACAAAACGCAACTGAGCCTCTGTAAGAACAATAAACTTGTGGCAATTGAACTTGCCCTAATCCCATCTCTGACTCTCTAGGCTCTAGTGCCTTGAAAAATAAGACCCCACATTGATATGAAAACCAGTAGCCTGGCAGTCACTGAAGGGAACAGAACAGAGTTGGGCTCTTTCAAAGCCTCTTTCCCAGAAAGCTGTCATTATTTGACCTGTCCAATGGTTCCCTTGGAGACCTCACTTACAAGCATGTCTGTATTTGACCTGACTCAGAACTCACCAAGTACAAAAAGACCTATGCCCCAGGACTGACTGGCAAAAACAATTGCAGGCATTTAACTTCGAAGATGCTCTGAGCAGTGGATAACAATGAAGCAAGCAACAGATTAACCAAAAAGCTTAACAGAAAAGGTCAGCAATGGGATGTCCACATAGGCTTTGAAAAGCTGGCCTGCATTCCCAGGAGTCTGGATGGTCACTGCATGCTCAGGACTGTGGGCTTGTCAGGAAAGTCCTTAGGAGGCACTGAGCACTCACTACCGACTGATTGTTGGGATCTGTGCAAACAGGAAGTGAAGGCTAAAGCAGAGCCATCTGCCTCACTGAGAGCTGAAAGTGGGGTCAGCACACTGGGCTTCTCGGCAGAGGCGGAGAGGCCGACTGACTCCGGGCATTCGGGAAAATTTCCATCCACTCTGAAATGACTCCTAAGTTAACTAAGCAGAGATTTCGGTATCACACATGACAAGAGAGTACAGGCTTTACAGAATTAATACTGAAATTTCACCAAACAATCCTAACAAGGAACAAGAACAGCCCTGGAGAAGGGTGAGTCTCTAGTTTCTAATGCTGACTTACTAGGCAAATACTTTAGATCAGCTATTTTATATATGTTCAAAGAACTAAAGAAAACCATGTCTAAAGGATGAAAGCAAGGGCCAGCCCACGGCATGGTGGTTAAGGCAGCTAGATCCCACATGACCAACTGTGCAGTTTGAATCCTGGACCCAGCAGCTTGAGAAACATGCTGAACGTGTATGTGTGCATGCCCACAATCCCAAAAGGGGGTAGAAATGGAGAAGGATTGCAGTGTGACCATCCCCCATGGGGAGTGCTTTCTCACTTTCCCATTTTCTCTCTGTCTCCCTCTGATGAGCAAACATATACCCTCTTGGGGGGCGGGGAGGATCCTAAAAGACAATGTGGAAACAATGATATGCCAAATAGAGAATATCAGTAAAGAAATACAAACTATTAAAAAAGAACTAGGTGGGGGCCAGCAGGTGGCGTGGTGGTTAAGGGTGCTGGACTCCCACATGGTCAACCACAGTTCGAGCCCTGGACCTGGTGGCTTGCTTTCTCACTTTCTCTCTGTTACTCTCTGGTCAAATAAAAATAAATAAATAAATAAAGTTAAAAGAATAATTCTTAAAAAAAAAAAAAAAAAAAACTCTGGTCTTGAAAACTAAGCAATTGAAATGAAACATTCATTAGAAGTATTCAACAACAGATTTGAACAGACAAAAGATAAAATTGGTGAACCTGAAAAGAGGTCACTTGAGATTATACAGTCTGGGGACAGGTAGTTGACATAATGGCTATGTCGCTGGACTCCCATGTAGTCAACTGGGGTTCGAGGCCCGGACCCGGTGGCTTAAACTCAAGCTGGGTGTATGAGTTTGCATGCTCAAGATCCTGAGAGGAGAATGGAGAAGAAGGTATTGCAGCGTGGCCATCCCTCCTTGGGGGTGATTTCTCACTTTCTGTCTCTCTGTCTCTCTCTGTCTTTCTGGTGAGTGCATGTGCCCTATAGCAAAAACCTCTCCCCCCCAAAAAAAGAGAGAGAAATTATACAGTCTGAAGAACAGAAAGAAGAATGAAAAAGATAAATGAAACAGAGCCTCAGACAACATAATTGATACCAACATGCATAATAGCAGCATCAGGGATAAAAAAGAGAGAAGAAGTGGACCAGCAGTTAGCATAATGGCTATGTCACTGGACTCCCACATAGTTGACTGCGGTTCAAGTCCCAGACCCAGTGGCTTAAACTCATGTCGGGCACGTATGCATGCATGCCCAAGATCCTGAGAGGAGAATGGAGGAGAAGGGATTGCAGCGTGGCCATCCCCCCTGGGGGGTGATTTCTCACTTTCTGTCTCTCTGTCTCTCTCTGTCTGTCTGGTGAGCACACACGCCCTATAGCAAAAACCTCTAAAAAAAAAAAAAGAAAGAAATTATTGTGGATAGAAGGATGATATATTTAAAGTACAAAAGGAAGAAAAAATTATCAACCAAGAATTCCTTGTGCAGCAAAACTGGTCTTCAAAAATGGAGAGGGCAGGATAATGGCACAGCATAATACAATGCTCTGTGAGGCTAACCCACATGGGAAGATTTCAGGTTTGTGTCCAGAAATCTTCCTGAACACACTGGGCACACACATTCCCATGATTCAAAACTGGTTGAAGCTGGAGGAGGAGCGTAGTGGCATGAAGACTCTGTTAGAGGTGCTGTCTCCTCCCGCCCTCTTTAACTCATGAAGAAAAGGAATAAATAAACTTAAAAATATCTAATGAAGATATTATCCACATAATAAAAATAGAGAACTCATCATTAGGAGACTTACCCCTATGAACTACTAAACAGATCCTTGAAGCTAAAATGA